TACCTCTTTTGGTTCTTATTATAAGCCTCAAATAACTAATTTGTAGATAATAAAAAATCAGTTAAAATTAGTTGAAAGTAATGAATAAGTTAGAAATATATATATTTTTTAAATATGCTCCTAAAAATATACTTTTATTTTTTCATGTTTCACTTTATATTTAAAATATTTTTTATGACTTCTTCATATTAAATTATTTTAATTTCATTGTATTATGTGAAATTATTTTTTTAATCATGTTTCATTATTTATTAAAACTCATATCTATTTTAGTCATTTTATAATCAAACTTACTTTTACTCAATCATAATCCAAACAACCTTTTACCAATCTCACTTTTGCAATCTAGTTTTTCTGAACTCTAATCCAAACACAATTCAACTTATCCAATTTAGCTTTTATCCAATTTCACTTCTCTATAAGCTACTTTTTTAATAAGCTGCTTTTCCAATCGCTGATCCAAACGGACCCTAAATGTCATTGGAAAAAGCTTGGGGTAGAACTGATAATATGAGTGGGATCCACAGATCCGACCTACTTGAAAGCAGGCTTTTTTGGCTTGCTAAGCCGCCAACTCGTGAACCTACATTTATTTTTTGAATTTTATTAATTATTATTATATGATTATATGTCATATTTCATTTGAAAAACTAAAAATATCTCTATATTAATTTTTTCTATAAAATATGTAAGGGAAACCAAGAACTTTATTATATTATATATGTGTGTGAGGGAATAATATAAAAAAAATTGAAAAATTAAAAAAAAAAAACAAATAAATGTGAGAGTTTGGTGGGCCAACTCACCAGCCCACGTGAAAGCGGACCTTTTCGGCCCTCACTATCTGGGTTAAACCTATCGCGAGTCAATTCCATAACGTAGGAGTTGATCATTGCAACCCTTAGCTCTACGTACCCATTGCCCCACCGGCCACCGCACACTAGCTAACTCTACTATCTTAGCATTCTACGTGTTCCAATGCATGTGTGTGGCAATGTGTGTTCTTTTTTTTTTTTTTTTGGCCAAGTGTGTGGCAATATATGTTACCAATTCACCATTACGGTTCTTGTCCAATTCTAATTAAGTGTGGAAAATTATGTAAGTATAAGCCAAATGTCCCAAGAGAGTGGAGTTTGAGGTCTCTTCTCTTACCTTCCCTTCCCCCTATTCTCCTTTTAGCCCTTTTACCCTTAAAATTAATTTTCCAATAGTTTGAATTTAATATATTATAAGAATATTATTATAATATTAAATAACAATAAATAAATTGAAATTACTAAATTTTGATTTGAATAATTCATCACTGAAATGAAAAAGTATTTTATAAAGCAAATTCTTTTTTACTTTTTTCACCTGAAGTTTAAACCATTCGAGATTACAATTTATTACCTGTTTACATTTGTTCATTCATGTAATTTTTCTTTGTTAAATATCAACTATAAAATATTAAATCTAAAAGTAGAGTAGGTAAGAACAGAGAATCCAAATTTAATTTCCTTTTTCACTTTTTAGGATTTATATGTGCAATTTAAATGATATTCTTTCACTTATTACTGCTAAGTACTAAATACCACTTGTGCTTTCCGGTTTTTTTTCACACATGCTCCTTTTGATCCATAAATAGATATACATGTATTATGAGTGGGATAATTTATTGAAAAAAATGACAATACTAATTAAAGATGGGAAAAATTGGGGATTTTTAAATCCCTATTTGAAAAGTTAATTGTAGAATAGAATCTGACTTTAGATGATAATAAATTCAAGGGGTAAAAGACTAAACAATCCAAGTTGCATATTGTTGATCTCGAGTTATATATGGTTGATCCTAATTACATATTACATATGTCTAGTTGCATATATGATCTAATGACATATCACTTATCCTAATTGTATATCCTTAATCCTAATTGCATTTCATTAAGGGTATAATGACAATTTTATTTAATTCTGCAAAAGGACCTCAAAAGTTTAGGTCACATTCTATAATTAACTTTTTACATGATGGTTTATCCCCAGTTTTCCCATTAAAGATTTATAAATCACTCGGTAGAAATGTATTTCCGATATATGTTAAAAATGGAGAAACGAGTGACGCACGCCGTGTCACCGGCAGCACATATATACTCTTTCACAATTTGAATCATGGCTCGTAGTAATAAAGTGGACAAAAGTTGGCGGCATCAAGAATATTATATCTGTCTATATATAAGCACGTGGCACCTTCAATTTCAGGTCAATTCCTTTTTTTTGCCTTTCAGTCCAATTTTGTTTCCAAGAAACCAAAAACTAATTAAAGCAAGCACTAGCCAATGCCCTTATAGTACATACAGTAACGCCTTGTTTAATTGCTTTTGTCCGCCATCTAGATCATTGGGTTTAATTCCATATACAAATAATTAGCTTGGATTTCATAATCTTACTACTCATTTGGAATGACTAATAAGTAGCTTTTCAATCGTGATTTGCCGAATACAAAGTAAGAATGTGAGAGAAGATTTATCTCGACTCACATAAAACATACTTACAAGTTATTTGAAATGTTAATCCAAAAAATACCTTGTTATTATACACTTTAAACATGTGCATACGCACGTAAACATGTTAATACCAAAATCAAGTTTGGGATCTTATTCAAAATTGTCAGAGACAACTTACTATTGACAACATCTTTGCTACAATAATTACTACAATTAAAATGTGAGTTGATCATTTTGTGACGCAGGACGAGGCCTTCAAATTGCAAAGGAACATAGGAGAATATGGTTCCATATGTATATACCTCCGACTCATCAAAGGGCAGCACCAAGAACCTAAAGGTAAACCTATCATATCGCTCCCTTAATGTAGGAATATATGTTACTCTTCCGGTCCTTAATATAAGACCTATTTAACTAATTTGATTAGATTAATGAAGTTAGGTAAGTTAGTTAATTATAAGAAAAGTGACATATTTTTTCTAAAATACCATAATCATCTTTCTTAATACCTCCTCTCCTTCTTCTATTTGATTATGGTTGAGGGAGTATCCATAGGGATAATTTAGAGAAAATTGATAAATATGAGAAATGGGTCTTATATTTAGGACCAAAACCAACTTAAGAATTGGGTCCTATATTAAGGACCGGAGGAGTATCATTATTGTCCTTACTCAATTCTAAGTGTCGTTTGAGGATTTGTTGAACATCGTATAACTAAACTATGATTATTTCTCACCTTATACCTCACCACTCACTTTCCCAATTTTTTGATCGGAGCTTACTAAAAATTTTCTCATTCTCCTCAAAGGGTTAAAAGACCCAATGCTTCTTTTGTCCAAAAAAAGAACACAGACTCTTCAAAATTCGTGCTTTCATACGCATGTTGTTGTTCATGGAGTCTGTAAGAAGAGCTTAACCTCTTTAAGATCACAACATAGCCAACCTCGATCTCAGTTCTTTCAATTCCTCTTCCCCTTCTCTCTCTCTCTCTCTCTCTCTCTCTCTCTCTCTCACTATATATATATGAAATTCACTCTGTGATTGTTTGCCTCTTAAATTGGCGTTACTCTGCTAATTTCTTTCTCAGATTATATTATATTATATTGCTCCCTGTCATCATTTTCTTCTTCATCATCAACTCTGTTCATCTCTGTTTTTGCTGCTTCTTCATCTATTACCGGCTTTGATATTTAGAAATGTGCCAGATCATTGTTGGTTCCATGCACAACTATTTCCCATTTGGTTTCCGTTTCAATTGAACACTCCGGAGTTTTCCGGCAATTTTTATATTTAGAAATGTGTTGGGAAAACGATGGTAAATGAATAAATAGAACGAAAAATTGGTTCATTCACCTGTATGATCTATTCCCAAGCTCATCTGTAAATAATAGAAATTCAGATGTAAATATCCACAGTTTATCATTGAGCTTCCAATAACTAAATTGCTCATTATTTTCAAACTAAAGATTTTAAACTTTACACAATTATATTACCTAAATTGGAAATGGTATTTAGAATTATTTAATACTCCTTTGGTCTAAATAAGTCTTATATTTAAGACTGGAAAAGTATTAAATTTTCGTGATTCTCAATTATATCTTTTATGAGTTTGGAATAAGTTTTCTGAATGTTAGAAAAATAATATAAGAAAATGAAAATAGAATTTGGTTCAAATTCATCATTGAGCTTGGTTATTCTGATTTCTAAAAATGTTATCATGCTAATAAGACGCATGATTATTTATTTCCCACCACAAGCAAACAAGCAAATTTACTATTTTTCTCTTTTTCTCGAGTAAGAAATTGTCAAAGAAAAAAATATTTTGGATTGGCCAAAGATTCTTGTACATTTTAGACTGATTAAATGTGGGAATGGGAAGAAGATTTTGTTTCCATCTTGACCAGAGAAAATTAGGTATAAATTTATCATATTATTATGATGATGGTCATTATTTGAAATTTCTGTATTTCCCTATCATTTTTAAATAAAAAACAAAAAAAGCTTCTTTTCTCTCTTTATTTTTATTTCATTATATGTACCAACGATGATGTCATAATATCCATGAAACTAACGCCATCTCTAATGAGATATGGCTTGCCTCTTCAAGTCTATTCAGTCAATTTTCTTACTTCGACGTTGCTTTTTCTCTTCATTATAATAAATCTAGTATTTAAATTTCATTACTTTCCCGCATTGGTATGTTTCTCAGGTTAAACTATGAACCCAAGGATTTCAATATATGACTTCAGGCCTTTAATATAAGAACTATATAACTAATTTGAGAATATTAAGAAAATCAGTTAAGCTAATTATTTGTCATAAATGTGTTGATCTCCTTAAACTTTTTTCTTTAATCATGTGCATTCAAATAGGGATATTTTGAGAAAAATAAAAGACAAAGTAAGTTGAAGTTTTATATTTAAGACCAAAAGTAATATTATCTGTAATGTGAGAGTCAGCCAGGGAAAAAACAAGAAGAAATATATGAAAGAAAAATGCAGAATAATAATGAACAAGGCATCGTAGAAACGTTCAGGCAAAAATTCTGAAGCTAATACACTGTTTTGTTTGTCAATCAGGAGAATAACTAATGGCATGCGATACCGATATACTGATTGAGCTTGTCTCTAATATTAAGGCAAGATTGAAGAATGCGAAAAGATTTATGTATGAATCATCACAAAGTCACAAACAGTCATTTTAGAAAAGTACATAAGAATGACAACCCTACCCCAGTTTTGGGATCAATGTTAAATGGGCATGCCCCTTGGAACAATTTTGTCCTTGATCCACATATAAATTGGCACCAACACATAGTAAGCGGCTGCAAGGGCACCAAGAATGAACCGAGAAAGAAACACAAATGGATTTACAGGCTTCTTTACATCTTCTGCCTTAGGGCCAAGCTGCATGTATAAATACATTAGATGTTGTACTAAAATTAATGCTACAAGTATTTAAATGTTTTGCATAGTGGGGCGACTATGTACTTCACGGTGATCGTATGTCTGCAGTGTATTGGTCTGACAATAGAAAAGTGAGGGATTGTCTTGTTTTAGCCTATATGCATAATATTAGCAAAATTCAAAAGGGTCAGTATAATTTACTCTTACGGTATGTTTGGTACATAGAAAGGTTCTTTGAAGAAAAGAAAAAAGTGAAGGAAATCATGTTTATTGTGTCTGATAGATGGAAGTTGTAAAAACATATTCCCATTGAAAAAACATAGAATGGGAAGAGAGCTTTCCCTTTCCCATTCTCTTCTTCATTCCCATTTTGTACCAAACAGATTACAAGAAACATCTCAAAAGTAGGGGTGATAAATCTAAAGATTTGACAGTAGCCAAAATAAAATCAAAGGAAGAATCAAACAGGGTCAGACCATCGGAACTACTAATGGACACAAGCAATTGGACTCACCGAAAGAATGTACCTTCGATTGAAAAATGTCAGAAATCTACATATCACCTGCCTAAAACATACCACTGTTTCCCCTGTTCATTGCCTTTTCTTAATTTTTTTTTTTTAAATTTATCCAGATTTAGGCTCAAAACGTCTTCCCTATCCAGTCTGCATTGAGAAGTGAGAATGCAGAACCAGCAGTGATTCACAACAGAAGTTTACTTCCTTTGATTCTAAATTTAAATCATTTTAAACCCTTACCATAATCAAAAAAATGTTGCCTTATTAAAATGGTCTTAAAATTGAATAAGTTTCCATATTTACCCGAATCAACACTCATTTAAAAAGCCATACATAATTAACTTGGAAATCTGCAAGAAGGGCGTTTTTGTAAAAAATCAAATACCCCAAAAACTCATGCAAAGTGACTTATATTCAAGACCACAAATTCTTCCTAGCACGTGATTTATATAAAGTATTGGAGGGAGTAAAAAATAACCACAATCCTTGCTCAACTATTCATTTATTTCAGCTGACTTAACGGCTAGACTGTGAAATGCAAACCCATCAGACTAAAAGTAAGACTTTTGCCTGACTTGGCAATGCAAACCTATAGGGTTCATTTATTCCATCCAAACTTCAAAGGATGTAGCATTTAGAACAGAATACCAGTAAACTTAAAGGAAGCTATTCTGGCTAATGCAAAGCAACCATGTCCCTTTTTTTTTTTTTCTTTTCTGTGTGATTATCCAGTACTCACTTAGTTCATATTTGAGCAGCAACTAAGTCCTTTTACTTTGCAGGATTGTTTCTGCTTATGAACAAACATATCTGAACAGTCTATATGCCTAAAGCATTTGTATCTTCTTTCCTTCCAAGAAGGTTTGAACTCTACCGTCCTTTTTTTTTCCCCCTCTCTCAAAGGAAATTCAATTCCCAGATCCACAACAAGCATTGCGTCTATTTTAAGATTACTCTTGAGCAGATGCATGAGATGCTAATCCTACTGTCAAGCACTATATCATCAGAAGCCCAAAAAAACGTGGGTTTGAGACTCAGCATAGTAATGATGTACTCAAATTGGACAAAGAGCGAATTTGTAGGCTTCGACTAATGCTTGATCAAATTAAAAGTAACAGAGAAGAATGAAAGCAAATTACCTGAAGTGGAGAGTCCCCAGTAAAAGGCTTTACACCCGTAACAGAGCAACCCATGATTAGACCATGTCGACGCACACCACGATACCATTTTGGACCTATTCTTTTCAGCTTTACATCTTTGAAGCCAGCCTTCTGAAACCATTCAACGTACTCTTCCTCCTTGGGGAAGAGCATCCACACATCTGCAAAAAATCTGGACAACCAGAAGGTTGGGTATACAGGACCAATAATACATGCCTTGCCTCCTATTTTCAGCACTCTGTATGCTTCCTTAATGCCACGTTGTGGGTCAGGCCAATATTCGATGCTGAATAACACAATCACAAGTCATAATAATAAATTAAGGATGAGAGCTATCCAGGAAACAGAGAAAAGACTAAACCAATTTGTAGATGATAAAGTCAACGAGAAGACCAGGGGTTTTCTTTTCTTTCTAATTATTACATAAGAGAGAGATATTCACCAATGATTTCACTTATAAACAAAATCCCCATTAGGTATTCACAATCTTACCAAATAACTATCATTAAAACTGCATCTCACTTTTACGTACTGTTTTACCTTCCCCCCAAACTACATGCAATATTCACTTTAAGCTACACCCATACCTTAAAAGTTGAATATTAGTCTGAAAATCACTTATGTTACATGAAGTCCATACACAAATTTTAGAATAACCTTTGACTTTGATTTAGAAGGTAGAATAGTTTCCCCTAGTTTACACCTCATTCAGCATGGCAAGACAATAAAATTACCTTCCAGCAGAAACATATCTGTCAGCATAATCAGTAGGGAATGGAAGATCTTCAGCATCGCCCTCAATGATCCTGCATTCTTTCAGGGGTTCCTTTTCCTTAGCCTTGGCCAATTGGTGAGGAGACTGGTCAAGAATAGTAACATTCTTGGCATCAACATGCTTCACTATCCCAAGAGTTGTGAACCCAGTCCCTCCGCCAACATCCACGACTCTCATTTTACGATCATACAAATCAGCAGGCTCCAGTGCCTCGTCTCTCATCTCTTCTGTCCAGTGTCCCGGGTTTATAATATGATCATACACAATCGACAAAAACCTGTAGAACCAAAACGCCTCTGCTTTGTGTTGTATGAACCTAGGTTGAGAAGCTGGCCTTGAGGCTGAGATGCTGCATCTGGGGGTCAAGTTCTTGAATCTATATTTGTCATCACGAGACACAAAACCCTTCTCGACTAGAGGTCGCTTGGGAAAATTAAGACTCTGAGAACCTAAACCAGATGGGGTTATGCTATTACTAAGGAAGAGGGGTGTTTTAGGTCCATTGAGCATTAAAGACGCCATGAATTCTTGCTGTGAAAGAGAAAACTACTGAAATACTAACACTATGTCCAGAAGGAATTGCACATTCTGGTGGGTATGCTCTGATTAGTTGATGGCTGAGATTGACAAAAACTCGTCGGTGCCGTATTTCCAGAAGAACGAAATTGGGGCTGAACGAAAGAAACAAGAAGAGGCTGTTGCTCGTATAAGGGAAGAATTTCGAAAATGCCACCGAAGATGAGGACACACAACTTGGCGCTATTGCGCTGAACAAGTGAACATGCACCACATTCGTGCAGATTAGTGATTCATCTGTTCAATTGCTAACGAATCGTTACCATCAAATCAAACGGCAGCGTTTTGTGCGGTCATCGGACTCGTGTAATTTTTTCCTCTTCCGTTGTCTTTCCCTTCTTCATTGTTTTTTTTTGGGCACAAGAGCACGAGGAACGTTATCGGAAAATGATTACCTTTGCGATGTACTGTATGAAATTAATCAACCTTCCCGTGTAATAATTTTTAGCTGTGTAAAAATCATTCGCCTGAACCTGAAATTTTTCACCATCCAACAAAATACATCCTTTTTGAGTTATGCAATTTCAGATTACAGAGGCTAAACCGTACTTTAGGACGACAAAGAGCAATTATGGTTACTAACACTTCTTCAATGAACGATAAGCTGAGAGAAATCGGCAAACATATTACAAAATTCTATCAAGGCTTGAAAAACATAGGTAGCCTTTACTTCCCTTGTAGAAAAACATCGGCATGATCATACTATACTGTCTATACAGATCTTAGCGCTATTCTCAGAGGACCCCATGGCGTGCGCCTATATTTTGCCAGTAAGACCTCAAGACTCTTCCAGTATCTCAGGAGGCTTTGGAACTTCCCTGAGTTGAACTGAGTTTTCAAAGCAATGATAAAAACCATAATGAGGGAATCTCTCGTACCACGTATCTTCCTGAACGTGTGTATCCCAGTGTTGCCCGCAGCTGCTCCTCCCATACTTGTGAACCCACCCAGAACCATTGTGTTGCTCACCCCAAGTTCGGTTCCATCGCTGCCCATCTTTACCTTCCCACCACGTCTCTCCTTGCTTGATGCCGTGGCTATTTAGATCAAAATCTTCATCCCATTTGTCTCCCCATTTCTCCCATCCACCATCCACAGACCGCTCAGCCCACTTGTCCGTATACTTCATGCTGCCACCCTTTCCATCATAGTTTTCACCCCATCTGACAAAGGCACAGCACAAATTAGGCAAGAGATAGGAAATTATTGGAACAGAAAAACCAAGAATTAGGCTAAAAATTATCAATGTTACTTATTATAATTAGACTAAACTAATAGTTAGGTCCTCCAATTGTTTGGACCATTTAGCTTTAAATACTAAATTAGTGAATGTAGCAACCCCCAAAACAGATCACTCATTGCGTTTTAGTTCTTAGAACAACTGTAGAGCTAGAAAATATGAACTCATTGCATTTTAGTTCTGGCAACATCTTTAGATTACTTGATATAAGGATTAATATTATATAGCAGCTTTGTTATTTTTCAAAAAGGCTATTTTGTGCATTAACTAATTAACTAATTTTTAGGAGTTAAAGCTAGATGAACCTGTTACTAACTAGTACATCTAATGATCAAAATATTAGCTTCCACATGCATTTCTAGAAATGAAAAGAAAGTAAACCACTTGTATGCGAAGCAGAAAAAACTTCTTCCTAGGCAAGTAATTAAATTTATAAAATCTGTTAGAAGAAACTTTGAGGCGGCGGATAACTTTGATGTAAAGGAAAACTCCATTCAAGGAATTAGAAAGGCCAAGTGGAGGAAACTGAGGCAGCAGATAGCTTTGATGTTAAGGAAAACTCCCATTCAAGGAATTAGGTAGGCCAAGTGGAGGAATTCCCTAAATTATACATGGTGTTTCCTAGTAACAAGCACTGAGCCATATTCCACTCATGCAAAGCTTCCAGCACATAACATGACAACATGTGAGATCAAGGTTCAAATATAAACTCAAACCCATAAAGCTACATGGCTCATATTAACAAAATAAGAGAAAACTTGGAGGCTTTTAGGTGTTTTTTATTAGATTATTCAGCAACAATTAAAAAAAAGTGGATTTTTTTTTTCAGCGAAACACTGCAAGATTGGATTTTCAAAGAAAATTCTTCCATGCCTTGTGTTTTTATTGAAAAACTCGACAGCAAAAGCCCAAGAAATTTCACTTAACCCATGTATGATTTCTGATTTACTTCAATTATCTAATGAATTCATAAGTTAGAAAGATCAGTAATCAGAGAGACAAACTCCCTAGAACTTCATATAGACACGGTGCATGCTTAAATATATTTGATTTGATAACAAGCTATAAAGTCCAGTGCATTAAAGCCGTACCTTTCATGCCAAACATGAGCATGCCCAGGTTCAAGGGGTGTGCTTGGATCAATACTACACCACTTGTGCGCCCATTTTTCTGTTTGACCACCCCCACCATAATGCTCCCACCAGTTTTCTTGCCACTCCTCACCTTTACCATTTTTTCCCCATTTGTCTGCTGTTTTCTCAATATGAAGAAGCCCATTTTCCTGCAAGCAAAATTCCTACTCAGTAACAGTAAGCATTAATATGCTGTTCTTTATCCATAAGTGAATGCAAAATTATTCAGACAGAAGTTATTAGTTATTGCAAACATATTCTTAACAAATAAAGTTTTATAAAATGAAACAGAAACAGGCAAAGAAAACATGAATATGGGACAGCAACTCATGAGGCAGCAGATAAATTCACGTGCAAATTTAGAAGGCAGCCAACTCTAGTCTCTCTTGACTTCGATAATACAAAGATCAGGCTTCAGGTGCAGAACGATATTTGGTAGGTACCAATTGATGTACAATAGCTAAACAGTACCGAATTGCACACTTGAATGTATGAGCCAATGAGGATGGAAACCACTAACTCCTAAAACAATGCTGCCCAGGTGATAAAATATATGATGCATGTAGTAAAAAACACATTTAAGGGCAGCTTAAGTCTGTCCCTTTTTCTAACCTGCCGCATTGATTCTCTCCAAAATTCACGCCAAACATTTCCAAATGCATCACGACCTGATTTCTCAGAACCAAGTTCCTTATAGCCAAACACATCAGAAGCTTCCCAGAACGTCTCTTGCCATTCGGTGGCATTATCAGCACTAACACCTCTATTCATTGTCCACTTGCAAATCACACCATCAGGTCTTCGCTCAATTCCTGTCTCTTTCCACCATCTTGATCCGTCTGGATTCACTCCACTAGGTGATGATTTGTCCACAACATTGAGGGCATTAACAACTTCTGCTGCATGGTCAGCAAACAGTGCATCTCGTCTCTGTTCCTCTTCCAAGGAAGGCAGCTCTACATTGGACCTGGAGGCTTCTCGTTTTTCACCCTCTAGTGAAGACTCAAATGGAGGAAGAGTAGAACTAGATTTGCTTTGAGAAAGCGGTCTTTGAAATGGAATTGTAAGAAATTGAAAAGATCTTTCCTTCTCAGCAATAGGATTGGGCGAAAAAACTGAAGATTTTTTGGCCGCCTGCAAGCCCGTGACATCACTCGAAGGAACATTACTGTCTGAAGGCGGTGTCCAGGACCAAAAATCAGGACCTGGAATTCCCTTTCTCTGACTTTCTGATTGCGGCAGATTTGGAATTCCACTCTTCATTCCTGATTATTTTAAATTTCAAATACTTGATCATGGATTAAACTGCATAATTTACTATATATAAAAGGCTGATAACAGCAATAAATGACAATCCGATTAAAATTTAAAATGCATTATTGGTTACAAAAACTAATACGAAGTTTTGCTTGCAAAATATCGGAATGATAAAGTAAGTCAGTTGCCAACTCTTAAACAGTTATCTAGAAATTTCATTTAAAAAGGAAAAAAAGAGCATTGCCCCTAAGACAATATCGCATATTTTACAGAATTCAAACAACTGAAACCATAGGCAAATTTTGACCAAAAAAAGAAACCACAAGCAAGTGGAAAACCCTAAAATGCTACAGGAAAAAACATCACATTAAAGAAAAGAACTCGATGACAAAGCTTCCAATAAAGCAAACATAGGGAACATGCTGTTACCATCTTGATTTTCCCCCACTGCTTCACCGCGCTCTCTCCTCGATTCTCCACCGACGATAGCATCCGACTGGCTCTCCGGGTTGGACACATTACTCTCCTGAAGAACTGCTCTGGCCGCCGCGATGGCCGGCAGACGCCCGATCAATCACCTGCATTCGCTGAATCCTATCCCTTTCTTCCTTCGGAACTTCGAGAATCTTCTGAAACTCTTGACTCTTCCTTTGCAATTCCTCAAAGCTGGGCTTCGCACCACCTCCATTATCCCCTCCAGAACTACTCTCAACAATCCTATGAAACTCAAGATTCTTTCTCTCGTTACCCACAGCCTTCTTCCACATATCAAGGTACGAGTCTCCGCCATCGGAATTAGCCGCTCTCAGAGCTCCTCCTCTGTTTCTTGGTCTACCGCTTCCTATTACCGACGCTGGTAGTTCTCGAGGAACAAGAAGCACATGGTTGAATTCACGTACGGGAAGACTCACGGAGCGCGAAGGGGCACCTGCACAGTATCCAAGATAGGTCCCGATCATCATGCATGAATGGTTCCGAGAGCTCAGGGAGTGAGGTGTGAGAGTGTCAGAATGACGGGGGAAATTGGCGGTGAATGATTTTGCAGTTATAAATAAATGGAGCGGGCGCGGAGGGTAAAATTGTAAATATAAGATGAATTAAGGACTTATTGTTAAATATACTTTCCTTTTTGTATCCCAAAAAGAAAGTAAATAGTGAGAACTGTGAAGGACATTTCCGTGTCCGTGAAGGCAGGTAGCAAGAAAAGCGTGCGTGCCGTGAAGGCAGGAAGCGGCAGCGAAGAGAAAACAAATTTTTTTAACAGAATTCCATTTAAAAAAAATTAAAATTACTAAATCTGAATCGGGTAGCATTTTAACAAGTTTTAATAATATTAAGAAGATTTACAAATAACAATATATTTTTATTGTAATTCTTTAGTTGAGATTTGGTAATTTTAAATTTTTTTAGCAGTAATATAATTATGGCATTATGAGTTATGACCACAAAGTTCAGGGAAAAAATCTCCATTAAATCATTACACACACAAAATGACAATAATTATGGTATTACATTATAATATATATAATTATAATTATATTCTTATAATTCTTATAATACTTATCATATAATGAAATATGTGTTTTTACTAGCATAATGATTCATGAATTAAAAATTGGCTAGGAAAAAAAATATTCCTTCGATCCTTATATAAGACCTAATTAGGAAGTTAATGTTGATCCTATATATAAGACTTATTTCACATATTTATTAATTTTTTTAAATTAACTTTATTGATCACAACAATAATTAAGTATGAGAGGGAGGAAAAGAATTAAGAAAGATGTTTAGAACATGTTAAAAGAATATATTATACTCCTCCGGTCCTTAATATAAGACCCATTTAACTAATTTGATTAGATTAAGGAAATTAGGTAAGTTAGTTAATTATAAGAAATATGACACTTTTTCGTAAAATACCATAATCATATTTTTTAATACTCCATCTTTCTCTTCTACTTGATTATGGTTGAAAGAGTATCCATAAGGGTAATTTAGAGATAATTGATAAATATAAGAAATGGGTTTTATATTTATGACCAAAACTAACTCACTAATTGGGTCCTATATTAAGGACCGGAGGAGTATTAGCTAATGTAACTAATATTTTTAATTTATTCAAATTAATTAATTAATTTTCACGAAGAGCATTAAAAGCTGAAAGCAGCGTGTGTTTATGTTTGTTAAAAATGAGACGGCAGATTATAGTTGCATAGAACGAGAGGCATTGTGCCCTCCGATCTCAGCCCACTTGAACGTGTGAAAAGAGAAGATATATAAATTTTATATTCAATTATTATGAAGTAATTTAATTAAAGAAGTAAAATGAACACGAGACCAACAGCGACTGCTTTAACAGGTGCTGGCACAGTGGCGTGGTATCTACCTGATGGTGGCCTTTAAGATCCCTGCCCGTTGAAGAGAATTAGACCAAATGAATTGAGTTTTGATGAATCTGATCTCTAATCAAGATTTTTGTTTTATTTTTTTTAATAAAAATTATATTAATTGGTATAGAATCTAAATTATAAATAATTTATTAACGGTCAGTGTTTAAGAAATATTTTATTATTTAAAAATTATTAATTAAAAATTTTAAATCTGTATCGCCGAAATTATTCTTAAACGGTCCAAATCTCACTGCAATAATAAACACTATGGTGGTCATCACTTAATCATGTTCCCTTGCCACCATACATTGACCGCATCTATCTTTCAGACTTTAATTTTTTTTTTTTGGTACTACAAAAATAAGTATTACATACTTTTAGTCTCTCCAAAATTTATATGAAATATACAAAATATGTGCTTTTTAAGTTCCACTCATCATTTTTTGAATACTAACCATGGCCTTGCTAATTTAATTTACTCTTGAACATGAGTCTACTTCTTCAATAATGAATTTGAATCACTCGTCATTTTTCTTAGTATTGTTTTTTTATCTAATAAAGTGTCATTTATTAATTTCCAGCCATTAGGTTATCATGCTTTTTTTTTCCTTCTCTTATAAAGACTAATTACTATCCGTATGAAAAGAATGGCTCATCATCATCACATACATTAGATTTCCCATTTTTAGAGTTGAACACTTGGAATGTAATTCTTGTCACAAATATTTTGTCATGCCTTTATGGAAGGATACATTAATCAGTAAGACAATAAAACTTGTAATGTTTACAGTTTAACACTTGGAAAGTAATTGTTTTGACACATATTTTATCAGGCCTTGTAGAAGATCCAACTAATTGGGTTACAAGTGTACTATAATGAAACATCCCATCATTATCTATATATAGCCATAGAGTTTTCACCTATTTTGCCTTTTTGTATGAATTGCCAGATAATATAACTAGACAAGAAGCAAAATACATTTATATGTTAACTTTTTAGTATTATTAAGAGTTTAGAAAAAATGTCACCTTAAACCACTATTAGAATTCAGTGAAAGAGAAGACAAGAAGAAAACTAACTTTATCCTACTTTATCTACTTTTATACTTTACAATTTAAATTTAAATGTCTCCTCATATTTGCCCTCACTTTACCATAACTTTTCCTATCCTAAATTTCTTTTTCATTTTTTAAAAATTTTCATTTGTTATTTAATGGTTTTTTGGTGAGAAAATATAACACAATTGATGAGGGCGGGCTTCAAATTCTTACAGACCAGAACCTTAATCCAACGCCTTAAAAACGATCTCGCCCCTGTAACTTTTTTCTGATCAAAACAGAATCAATTGTATTAATCACGGCAAAAAAAAATAGTAAAGAAATAATGTAAAGGGAATTAATGAATTTGATTTATCTTGTGATTGTTTTCCACATTCTGCACTTCTCCCTTTGCATATGAAATACCCATGGTTTTCCTACATTGTTAACTATCTTGCTGCTCATGTTGTGCCATCTTGTATAAATAATCATCAAATGGAGAAATTAAGCAGAAGAGCACAATATAACATTTGGGAGGATCCTCATTTGTGCAATGATCAAATCATAAGAAGATGCATTCTGGATGGTGACAAAAATTTTATTTGATGTCTTTCGTTGGCAAATGGTGGGCACATGCCAATAACACAGCTAACAAAAATTCTTAGAAGTAGGATTTTATTGGCACACATTGTTTAAAGATGCATATAATTTCTGTAAAGCATGTGAGAAATGTCAAATATTTAGTAATTTAAAAAAAGAAGCATGAAATTCCCCAATAACCTTTATTGTTTTTGTGTAATTTTCTATGTATGGGATATCAATTTCATAGGATATTTTTTTTAAATCGTGCATTCTCATACCACAACTTATTTTCGGAGAATTATTTATCTAGGTGAGTTGAAATAATTCCCACTTAAAAAAACGATGCTCAAACTGTTATTTATTTCCTAAATTTAACTATTTAACTTTATGAAAATAAAAAACAATTTAAATTTAATTTTCAAAATTTTAATTTACTTTGAATATTTAAAAATATTTAAAAAAAATTTGTAAATTGAAAACACATGAAAAAAATGAGTTCATCCGTCAACCTACCAGCTTTCCTCAGACAGGCTCAGATTGGCAAAACACCAACACGCCCACATACAGACTTCTGCAGCCCGCCCTGCCGCTAGCTTGATCCGTTGTGATCACCTTTCTTAGCACTATTGCGTTGTGTAACATCATAAAATATTTAAACCTCAAGTTTCCTCAACAATTCACGATAGGCCTTCTGTCACCTTCATCCCCTCAAAGTGATGAAAAATAATGGCAATACCAGCCTAATTCAGATTTTTAAGTACCTAGGAACGACAACTCCGTTAGACTTGGTCCTCATTTTTTAACAGAAAAAGTCACTGAGCCTTATGTATCTGATGCCATCCTTATAGCTCTCTCCAATGTCCCTAACACTTTCGTTGGGATTTAGACCATGATACTAAAACACAGAACAACATCTCTGTTTCTGTCTACCTCTGCGATACCAATCATCCGATGTAGAATTACGCAACCACACTTTCTTTTAAGAATTGTCTCTCTAGTGGCAATTAACCTGCAACCCATGTCCAGAGAAAATGCTCTTCTGACCACCCCTGAACTATATTTTAACTATAGTTAGGTTATAAGCAGGTTTGCTTTCGCTCCTTCAAGTTTTACAATGAGATTGTCAAATTCCAAATCTCCTTCTATAAAGAAAAAGTACTATGGTTCTTTAATACTCCTTAAACCCCTCAACTTCTGAATTAAAACCATCTTTTACAGAATTATATGTCCCCATGTGGATCCCAGCCAAGCTAACCTGATCTCTCCTGTTGCCTAAAGAAATTAATGTAATCCATTTGCGAACATTTTTTTTTTCCAAATCGATGCTTAATATCGTCATTTTTTTTGGTTCCATCTCTCATTTTTTTCCTTCGAAACGAGAAAAAGCAATTTATCTTTCGGATTTTGCAATCTAAGATCATCAGAACTAGGAAAAAAAACAACAATGCTTGATAAAAAAAACTTCGAAAATTTATAAATACGTTTCCCTACACTATTATTTGAGGCCCTTCAGGGGTCGGAGGCGGTGAAATATCCGGCGGGGTCGAAGGCGGTGGAACGATCTCTGGTCCAGGTGGCCGCGGAGGGGCAACATCTGGCGGCCGCGGGGGCATAGGAATATCAGGCCCGGGCGGTGACAGCGGAGGCTTTGGCCCCTCTGGCTTTGGCATCGGATTCGGATTATTAGGCACAGGATTAGTCGGAGGAGGATCCACGATTATCTCAGGCGGAACGCCGGGGTCAGTTTCCGACGGATCCCGGTTCGGACCAACCGGCATTTCTTTGGGAAAAGACGGAGGTTCAGTTACGGGCACGGATGGAATCTCCGCCGGCGGGTCGCGGGCGGTAGATAGTGCCACCGGCAAAGGCAGGGGCTTTGTCGGCATATTGGGAAAGAAGGAACAAGGAGGTCTTGAAGTGATGACGACGGAGTTTGGAGTTACGATTCGCTTGAGAAAGGAAGAGGACAAGACTGAAGGAATTGAAGCCATTGTTACTTTTCGTTCGTAAAACTCTGTAAGACAAGTTTAGCGCAAGTTCTGTGTACCAGCACCACGCATATATACACACACATGCGCGGGATCCATAGATATATGTGCATGTGTATATACACACACACTCGCATATATGTGGGGGTCTATATATATATATGTTATATGTATGTATGCGAGCGATCTGTAGAAATATAGAGTGTCCAGCGCAAAAAGCATTTCGCAGCTTAATGCTCGACACTTCGACACGTTGCATACTCGCATGCTCTTCACTCCAGCTTTGTCAGTCATGGGTTTATATATATATAAATATATATACTTCGGTCTTAAATATAAAACTTTTATACTATAATGTGTATAAGGGTTTTATATCTAGGACCGGAGTATATATATATATATATATATGTGTTCCATCTGCTCACTTTAATAAAATATAATACGAGAGCCAGTTATGGGATTGAATCTGATCTTTTATTTCAATCAAGTTTATTTTTTATTTTTTTAAAAATATTTCTATTAATTGTAAAAGGTTCCATAAAAAAGTATTTTAATGCACATGATCAAATATAATACTTCTCCAGTCCTAAATATAAGACATTTATACACGTGTGTATAAAGGTCTTATATTTAGGACCGCAGAAGTAGTTTATAAAAATAAACACACATTTATGTCATATAATCAACTTAATTAATTTTTTAAATATTCTCAAATTAATTATTTAGCATTTATATTAATTAAGCATAGGAGGTAGTACTACTTAATAAAGCTAAATAAATAATTTAATTATAACATATATTATATAATCTCTATAAAATATTTATTTATATATCATTAGGTTGTATATTAATTTATAAGTTAAGTAAATTCTTTTAGAAAAAAAAAGATAAATATGAATACTTTAAAATAATTTTTTTAGCTTTTTTTTTCACACCCTCTCTCATTTTTCTTTCATTTATTATAAAGCTACATTTAGAAATAAAAATATATTTCTGATATATTTATTATGTTAATTAATTTTAACTGATTTTTTTGTTATATGCAAATAAATTATTTGAAACTTAATAATAATAATAAAAGGGAGTAAGAAGTAGAGGCAGTGTGTGGATCATAAGTAGACAACAAACAACTTAATTTGAATTTAGCCTCCTAATTCTGTAGTGAATTTTTTCGGGCCAAAAAAATAATCTGTAGTGAAATTTTAGATTTATTTGTTTTTCAAATAAAAATAAATAGTTACAATGGTCCTTGAATGATATTTTTCCTGCCTAGTTTAATTACATCTCCTTGAATGATTTTTTCTCCATGCTTAATATAAGAACTACTACTTTGGGTCCTTAATATAAAACTATTTAGAATTTTAGTTTAATCCCAAATATAAAATCATAATTTACTTTATTTTTCATATTTATTTATTTTACTAAAATAGTTCTTATAGTAGTTGTATATGTTAAAGGTTACATCAAATCGTAGTTCTAGTTAATACATTTAATTAGCAAAAGTATTTTAGAAAAAAACAATGCCTATGTATTAAAAATAACTAACTTAACTAAATTTCTTAATTTATTCAAATTAATTAATTAGCCCTTATATTAAGAATTGAGAGTGATATATAACTAATTTGAAGATACCATGAAAATTAATTAAGTTATTTATTTGTCACAAATTTGTTGTAACCTCTCTAAATTATCCTCTTTATCATGTGTATTGAGTGGTTGAAAATATCTTTAATAAAATCTTATAATCAATGAAAATATTTTAGAGTAAGATAATAGACAAAGTGATTTTTTTTTTGGCCAAAAAATTTGTTTCCATATCATTCAAACACAAAAGAGTACATAAACACCAAGAAGTTGCAACCCAACAAAAGAAGGCACTGCCAATGCCCAACAAAGGTGTCAATAAAACACCAAAGAAAGTAGAAACTAGAAACTACACCCTCCGAGTGAACAATCCAAGCCAAGTTCTAAATTAAATGTTAAACTAAGTGTTATATTAGGGACCAGCAATAATATTATATATATTTCCACTTCTCTTTTCTATCTTCCTTTTCATCTCACGCTCTTTTTTAGTACTTGAAATTATTTTCTTTCCCTGCCCTCCACAGCCCTATTTTAATTTTTTTCTTTTCAATATTTTAATTTCTCAAGTTATGCTTCGGAGAAAAAAATTCAACTTTCCTTCAGCAGAACTTCTGAATTAGCAATGCATTATCATTTCTTGAGGGAGCCAAAAGATTTAGGGGGAAAATATTAAAAATTATAATTCTAAACAATTTTTATATTAATTAATTTTCTTATGATCTGGTAAAAGCTTTAGCTTTCTGAAATTTAACTTTCTTAAAAATTAATACTCTTCATATTTTTATTATAAGACCTAATTAATTAATTTTAGTAGATTAAGAATTTTAATTAAATTAGTTAACATGATATGTTTTTTTAAAGCACTCTAATTATCTTCTTTAATTTCTTTTCTTCTTCTCCTACTTGATTATTGTTAAGAAAATATCAATTAAATTAATTTAAAAATTAATAAATATATAAAATAAGTCTTACATAAAAAATCAATATCAACTCTTAAATTAGATTATGTTTTACAAATAAATAAATTTACAAATTCTTGTTGAGGCAAATGTAGCGAAGTGGCATCATCTGGGTCATTCGTACAATCGAACGGCTGATATCTACAGAGTTCAGGGATCCTCAGGCCGTTGAAGCTACAGCCGATTTTATTCTCCTCCTCCTCTCATCTTTGGCTCTCTGTGTGCGAGGGTTGAGCCCAGGGTGGACAGGGTTTTGGTTACAATTCGCTCACTTCACTCGGGCATGTCACTTGGACATGGCGTCGTTCACGGTGATTCAACGTGCACGAAACACAATGCTCTCTTCCTTCCTCAAGGTACGCCATGACGTACAACCTTCTTGTTTGGTCTACCGCAATTACTATAATCAAATCCTAGGTCAAGCTCTGAGCACTTCCGCCATCCCAAATGAGTATCAGAGAACTCATGCTCATCAACCACCATCCGACCCTAGAGGTTTTCAGGATCACAGAGACCCAAACCAGTGGGACCCGCGATGGCAGGGTGGCCCTCATGTCAGGAGCTCTGAACAATCGAGCCCACTTGCCGAAAACCAGGGCTACGTTCAACAAAGGAATTCCAACTATCAAGTTAATCGTGTTCAGAACGTTGCGGGTCGATATCCTCCTAATCAGAGTCAGATTCCTCAGAATAGGGAGCATCCTGATTCAGGGCGGCAATATGCTCCTCAAGGAAACCCTAATCAATGGAATCCTCCGAATCAGAGTTATCCCCAGTATCCAGGGCCTAATCAGGTGAGCCGGCAGAACCCTAATTTTGGGCCGAACACTCGACCGAATCGATGGAACAGTCAAAACCAGGGATACCCGCAAACTGGAAGCCCCAACGAGTTTATCAGTGGGAGCCAAGGGTACCTTCAAAGTGGAAATGCATCTCAATCAGTTCCTCAATTTCAAAATCCTAATCAGTTGGGCAATCAAGTTCCTAATGAAGGGCAAACCATTGAAAGCCAATCTCCATCTTCGCCGCCTCCGTCCATTATTGATTTGACCCGATTGTGCCAAGAGGGGAAGGTTAAGGAAGCTATTGAAGTGATGGATAGAGGGGTGAAAGCTGATGCTAACTGTTTTGATACTCTGTTTGATTTGTGTGGTAAATCAAAACGTCTGGAGGATGCGAAAAAGGTCCATGATTACTTTTTGCAGTCTACATTTAGGAGTGATCTCAAATTGAATAATAAGGTGCTTGAGATGTATGGGAGGTGCAAAAGCATGACTGATGCCCGCAGAGTGTTTGATCACATGGCCAATAAAAATATGGATTCTTGGCACCTGATGATTTATGGGTACGCAAATAATACCATGGGAGATGATGGCTTGCAATTGTTTGAGCTGATGAAAGAGCAGGGCTTGGAACCTACTTCAGAGACTTTCTTAGCAGTGTTATCAGCATGTGCTAGTTCAGAAGCTGTGGAGGATGGCTACCTTCATTTTGAATCCATGAAAAGTAAGCATGGAATTGAACCAGGGGTGGAGCATTATATGGGGCTTCTAGATGTTCTAGGTCAATCCGGGTATCTTAAGGAAGCTGAGGAATATATAGAGAAGTTGCCATTTGAGCCCACAGTGGCTGTTTGGGAGAGACTGAGGGATTATGCTCGGACACATGGAGATATTGATCTTGAAGATCAAGCTGAGGAGTTGATGGTTAGTCTGGACCCATCGAAGGTTGTAGCCAATAAGATCCCTACCCCCCCACCAAAGAAGCGAACTGCAATAAGCATGCTTGATGGAAAGAACAGAATTATTGAGTATAAGAACCCTACCCTTTACAAGGATGATGAGAAGCTAAAGGCCTTGAGTGCAATGAAAGAAGCAGGATATGTTCCTGATACAAGATATGTTCTTCATGACATTGATCAAGAAGCAAAGGAGCAAGCCCTGCTCTACCACAGTGAGCGTCTAGCAATTGCCTATGGTCTTATTAGCACACCTCCAAGAACACCTCTTAGAATTATAAAGAATCTTCGAGTATGTGGTGACTGTCATAATGCCATCAAGATCATGTCCAGGATTGTTGGAAGGGAATTAATTGTCAGAGATAACAAAAGGTTTCATCATTTCAAGGATGGTAAATGCTCTTGTGGGGATTACTGGTGAAGGCTTTATAACTTCACATTGCGCTTTTTATTCCCTTTTCTCGCTGCAGCTCATTGGGTTACCAGAAAGTAGTTGTGGGCGAAAGCTTCAATACTGCCAGGGATACGAATTGAATTGTACTCTGATGTTGAATGTACTTACTTCTTCCTATGATAATCTATTTTGTCCCCCCCCCCCCTTTAATCACTTTTGTGATCTGCGCATATCCTTTCTGCTTCAACTCAGACTTGCCGTCTGCACCGTTAACCGTCATAACTCAACCTCATAGCTCGTTGTATCTCAATATTTAACATCTATAAAA